TGTTCACCTCTCTCATATGCGATTCCTCGGTAAATTTGTTTCATGGATTGGTGATTTCTTATTAGTTCATCCACGAACATTTTAAAGCCGCTACGGTGAGTATATATTAAGTAGTAATGATATATTAATAATAATGTTCATTAAAAATATGAAAGTAATTCTCTATCAATGATTATAATATTAACCTTACCCTTGGGCGTACTCGAGAGCGATTTTCATAATTCTATATTTCTCGAAATCATTTTTATTTGTGTTTTTGAATGATTCTACCAGCTGTAACTCGAACTCTTGGTATGTCCCATCATTCAGAGCATTTTGCACAGATTCATAAAGATCGGCCACCTGTTTTCAATATGTATCTTAATTATTAAGTTTGCCCAATGGCTACTATGGACGCGTACGTTACTTACTTTGTGCACAAAGTGATTCATGTTGCTGAATTTCCTTTCAAATGGTTCCTCGTACGGCGGTTCTGTCATCGTAGGGTAACGCCATCGTTGCTTTTTATCCGAAATATTTTGCGACCTTTATGAACACAATTATAGCGATGATCATGATTTCCGTATTACTGACAATTTAAGAGTTATTATAAATGTACGACACGTGATTATTACAGATAGTCGTATTGTTCCTTGAATACGGACAACAAAACGGTAGTAGGAGTGTTTCTCCACAACTCAACCGGCAGGGGACTATTTTTCAAAAAAAATCGTTCCGCCATGGCCTTTAAGACGTAAGCATTATCCAACATCAAATTATCACCGGGAGCGGCTTGCTCGTCGCTGTTTTCCATCAGTTCGTCGAGCATCCTAGCCATGGTCAGTTCTGTTTTTAAATCACTTACGGTTTTCTGTATTATTATTAAATGTCAATAAATTTCATTGTAATTACACGCGATAAGTATACTTGGGCGATGCGAACCAAGAAAAAACACCTTGGGTCGGAAAAGTCAAATTTACAGCAAAACGATTTGTTTTTTTACAAAAAATCCTTACTCAATGCTATTAATCGGCAATGCTGCTTCTCGTGTTAAGTTTGTTTTTCAATTCTCGTAGATTATTAAGAATAACAACATAAAAATAGGTACATTAAAAAAAAATGAAACATTTTCCCACTAAGGAACCTATTCACGGACCGCATCGCATCTGTATGTTTGCCTGCAATTTTTCCACTTGTATGTTCGGGTGAACGATCGAAGTAACGACGGGGTTCGTTAAACGCAATCCACGTAAAGTTTCTCCTAGTTTCAAAATCGACAATGCTGAACTTACCTCTTGTTTATCGGGTCGAATGTGACATATTAACCTGGAATATACGCCACGTGAACAAGATGAATTCGTATGATTTCTAGGGTTTGCTTGTTCCAAAAATTACATTATCAAGAGGGTATTTTTTTTTTCAGTTTAAAAGCTCCCATAAAAATAATAACGTTAAAATAAATTTATAGAAAATCGGCAAAAATTAATTTTAAAATCGATCTCACAGTTTTAGCCTTATTTTATGTTTTGCCAACCTTAAGTTGCTTCCAGGCGATAACGCTTTGCCGCAATAATCTATTAACGGCGAAAGTCTACCGTTGAAACGTAGAAACTTAGTCGGATTTTTTATTATATTCAATTGGGAAAACCGCAGGAAAAATGTGACCAGACTCAATTTTGTCTGTGTAGCTTCTACGTTGGGATATTTACCGCCAATTCCCATAGTGTCGATCACGTGGATCTGTTAATGAAACGTAAATTTCTCAATGTTAATTAACGAATAATGTACTAGAAAGCGAGTAGACGTGGCACATACTTTGGCTAGTTTTCTATTGTCAAATTTTGGATAATTATTTACTGTACACACATGCAATGTAAGTATAAAATTGCTAGCACTCGACGTATAGTTCATCTTTGACGTGGTAGCCCGCCTACAGGTTGCTTTGGACAATAATGCGATTCCTTCGGCAGCCGAATGGATTGTTCTCTTTATCACTCTCTAAATGATTAATTATTTAACATTAAATGGCTAAAAATCATGCCAATAAATGAGGTGTTATCCATTTATTTATCTTTTTATTAAAAATAGGCTTTAAGATCATATTTATTTTATAATGAACCTAACCTAATCAGCCAAACATTATAGTAGTTAATTTATTATATTTTATCATACACCGCATCATTATATACGACTTAATACCGGTATATTTACACACAATACATAAACAAACTTAATAATATATTCGCGAATAATTTTTGTTGTTATCAATTACTTGTACCTACGTAGCCTCAAAGAAGGGTAATAATAACAATAATAATTACTTTAACGCATCGCCATAAATAATACTATAAATTAAATGACTTTTACTCGTTTTTGACGACAAGTATGAAAAATAGTGTTGCGAAGTACCCTCATTTTATTTAATGAAATATGTGTCTCTCACAACTTCATTACACTGTCGTAGTCTTTATTCGTATAAGTTATTTATGACGCATGATTTATGGGCCTGCTAATGCGTCTAGAGACTATACTTACTTTATTATAAACCTTATAGGATATTTAAATTTAAATAATAATATATTTACATTTCATACTATATAAAATCCCATTCGAGTAATTTTTATAATTAAAAAAATATAGAGAATTTAATGGTTAATGGTCATCGTGACAATAATGCAAATCGGCATAGGAAAAACGAATAATTTGAAGCAATTTAAGCAATAGTTTTGATATATTATAATTTAGTTCTACAATACAATAAAATAAAATTATACAATTTGTTTTTTTTAACAATATTAAAATAATGAAATATTACACGACATATAATAGATATTAAGCAGTATAATCATTTCAATTAAATTTACTGTATAGATTACATTTTAATGATATTAGAGGTTTATATTTTTTATTATATACATTTTTTATAAATATGAAAAATTAAAAATCTAAAATTAGATAAAGCATAGATTTATATTAAATAAATCATCACAAACTATTTACTAGGTATATATTATATGGCGTGTGTTAATATAGTAATTTTTTTTTTTTTTTGTAAAAAAACCTTGGTATTGTGATTTGTACTAAAGATTCTGTGTTGTCACTCCTAATCAACATTATAACATTTGATAACCCCCTTAAGCTTACGGCGCTATTTTAGAATAAGTAATTAATTGAAGTTTCAATACAAATCACCAATGTTGTTTTTTGGATCGGCTTAGGAGTTAAAGGGTTTGGGTCGACAGACTATTCCCTCTTATAAACTATTAACTGTAGTGTAGTGTAGTGTTTTTTCAAAGCACACACTTGCATTGATTTCTGTACGGTTGGATACTCGAGAAGATCATAAACTGAATTTTTTTTTATTTCCACACAGCTAATTTCTAACGTAACCTCACGTTCTTCTTTCCATTTCTGTTTTGCTTCGAACACATGATCGACGAGTCTCGACGCAAAGCCTCGATTCTAAACGACATTATACATAATCGTCACGCGTGAAGCTAAATATATATTACTTAACTTTAAAAAAAAACTTTTACTTGGAAATCATTAAACGATCCTAAGATCCCGGTCGTCTTACCCGAACGAACAGAGCCGCAAGCCATTATAACAGCATCGACCCCTTCTAGAGCACTAACAATTAATACATTTACCTAATTATTTTCATGAATTCTGTTTGAATTTCAATTATCATTACCCCTCAACAATATCCTCGATTATAGTGTAAAATATTTCGGATCTGGAATCTTTCTCTGTAAATAAACGATGCGCTGTGAACGACTCATTTGTCACTCGGAATGTCTCCGTTCTTTTTATCTTAAAAGTTTTCTTTATCGAGATCGACTAACAGCAAAGATATTTTGGAAATTATACATTCAATCGAGTTATCTTTAGATATTGTCCAACTGTATTAAATTATTGATATTATAACGAACTGTAATAAATAATAATACAGCTTACCCTGCCATCTTCAGCAACGGTAAACGATTCGTTGTCTGTTTTTTCAACGGGCTTTAAGTATATGTAATACTTAGCGGCGTTTCTTGGAATTTTCTTCATTTTAACTTCAGAAAATGACATCGATGATTATATTTAAAAAAAATTACAAGTATCCTGTTTAGCTGTCTTTTTTATAGTTTATTGAAATTTGCTTAACGACTTTTTTACTACCCAATATTGTTGTTAATTTATTTATTTTATTCATAACGTTGTTAGTGGTTCCGAGATAATAATAATTTTTAATATTTATTTTACTACTTTGTAAACAAATAATAATTTTATATACAGTTATGTAAATAATGTTTAAGGTTGTATGGTAATAAAAAAAATATATAAAGAAAAAACCTGAGCAAAACTTGTGGTTATATCGTCGCTTCAGCTCAAAACTGCAACAATTTGAAAATTTACATAAATATATGGTCTTTCACCACAAAAGAATAAACTTTAACAAAGTAAAATCTGACGGAAAAATATAACTACACCTTGACGGCCAGCATACTTTTCGGTCAAAACTAATAACAACCGATTCCCTAGCAGCATTTATATTAATTATTACTATTAAAACCTTATATAAACGACAAACTCTTAAGCCTATAATAATGATGCGTATATAATATATCTCTCATTCACTAGATTTCGATAAGAATTATTATGAAAACCACATGGTGAAGCTACCGAACGAAAAATTATACTTAAGATCTTTGTTTATTTAAGCTATGAAATCATTTTTCGTTTGCAAAATCGAATTTTTCGATTGCCTTTCGCATGGAGCGTCAAGTTGGTGAAGCCAAAAAAAAAATGAGAAAAAAATTAACGTAATGATTGTTTTCTAAAACAATTGTTGTTGCAAAATTCGTTAAACTATTCATTCAGCATAAAAATGTAATAAATAAATACATTATTTTAAATCAAAAACGTTTTATAAACATATATTGTATAAACACTATTATTAACATTAAATTACAATTTATAGACTCAAGAGAGCTGTAAAGAATTTATACAATTACATAAATAATACCGTTATTCTGAAATGCAAATTACACTCATCTATTGCATTTAATGAAATTGATCCGAAATAGTTTTTTCAATTAATTTAAATAATATTCAAATAACCAACGAATCTCGACACGTGGACCTCGTGTGTTTATGGAGTTGCGGACTGCAGCGGTTGCTCGTAATTGCGTGGTGGTGGCGGCATCGGCAAGTCACCCTAAATACATATTTAATTCATTGTAGTGTACGCGTTATAATGGTGTCGTGAATATTGTAATATCGTAAAGAAGGTATAATACTATATTTTAATAGCAAAGTATTAATATGAAAACAGCACACGTTACTTACAAAATAAATCATATAAATTATACTGGTGATTTATTTAAGTTTCATAAATTCTCTCCTCTGTTTTTCTAGCAGTCTTTCGATACTGCTGCATTGGTTCAAAGCGGCATCTCTTTCACTCTGCAATGCCTGGATGGATTCATCCTTACGAGCAATAGCTTCTCTTACCCTAAACAGGCGTCAAGAAAAAAACAATAAACATACTATTAACAAATGTGGTTAATAGCGCAATAGAACAAAAAAAAAATATTCAATGTTACCTAATATAAACGTGATTGATTTCTCTTTCTTTTTCGTTTTCAACTGCCTTAATTTTAGATTCGAAATGTGATTTTGCTTTAGTCAGCTCAGCTTGCAAACTTTCTACTTTCGATACGGTCTCGGTTTTTATGATTTCATCTTTTGTGGACAGATCTTCTTTAAGTTTTGAAATAGACTATAACAAATAATATAGTCGTTAATGTTCTAATTATTATTAATTTTTATAATAATTATTTGATATTTCTTGTTTTGCTATTAGGCTAGGAATGTCTTAAGTAAATAAATAAAAGACAAAAAAATACTTCTTGCAATCGTTTGATTTCAGCTTGGTTTTTGCTTAGTTCTGCTGTCATATCTGCTATTTTGTCGTCACCTTCCTGTACTTTAGTACGCAATTCGTTCAACTTCATCCGATGGCCAGATATGGTGTTTTCCAATTCGAGTATATCAGCTTCGTATTCAGACTTTATACGCCTAAACAAAATTATTTTTAAAACTATGACAGATGGCTGTACAATAATTTGAATGTAAAGAATTTACAACAACAATGATGAATTGTTTTAAATTACAAACAACGAAAAATTCAAACTTTATCCATAATGCTAATAATAATATATTGTAGCAAAATTTGTATTCATTGTATTTTTTGACCAGTGCTCTTACTTAATTTTGGTTTCTGAAGCTTTTTCTCTTTCTGTAGATTCATTTTCTAATTTCTGTATAACTAACTCTATATGTCTGTCTCTTTCTTTTTTATACATTTCTTTAATAGCGTTTTCTTTTTCTTCTAAAACCACAGTTTGATTTTTTAACCACGCCGTTTTTTCGATCTCACAAGTTTCTTTTATTGTTTTTAATTCTTTCTAAAACAATATTTTTATGTATTACATAATAGATAGCCATGCCACATTCTAACTATAATAACTACATGCATAATTTTTAGTAACTAGATTTTTCTAAGTAATAAAATAATTTTTTTTTTTTAATGTAATTTTTATTTTGAATTGATAAATTAAATTCAGTCTATATGTAGGTCTTATATTTTATAAATCTTTTCAACCTAATATTTATTTTATTGCCTTGCAAATGTTTTCAAATATTCTTTAGTTTACCTGAAAATCTCGTTCTTTACTACTAATTTTTTCCTGGAGTTCGGTAACTGATTTTTCAAACTTCTGTTCAAGAACTCGACGTTTTTCCATTAAAGCAGTTTCACCTTCCCGCTCTTGTCGTAACCGTTCTGCATGAATTTCTCCTAACAGCCGTTTTCGTTGTTCTTGGTAACTTTTTTCAAGCTCGGCTATCTCCAATTCCAACCTAAACAAATTAATATTTAACATACTATTTTATTAAAAAATTTTTGAAGTACAATTAAATTAAAAATGTGTTTCTGAGTTTTTAGTTGAAACCTAGATAGAATGTATACAAATTATATTTCAAATGTGGGTAAAGTAAGAGCCTGCTCGTGGCGCTCACTAATCTTACCATTGGTGCTACCATACTTATTAAATAAATACTATTTATTTAAAATATTTTACAAATTTGAACTATATTTTAAAGTGTACATTTTTAAGCCCAGTGGTAGTATTTACACTATAATTTAGTAACAAGAATAAATAGTTTATTTATATTTTCTGGTACACAATTTATGAAGTTTCTTGAGTAGATCATCGTTAGTGTTAATTACTTGTTTTCAGACACTAGTCGAGTTAATTATCCGAATTAAGTTGAAAGTTAGTTGCTGATTATATTATATTTATTTTTCAAAAAGGTTGTACATTATTATTGCATACCGATTCCTAGAAGTTTCCCGTTCTGCCACTATCGCTTGTTCCCGTTCAGCATCCATCTTATCTCTCATGGTAGCCATTCTTCTATGCCATGTTGCTTCAATCTCTTCAGTTTGGGCTTGATGGATCCTTCTAAGTTCCGACAGCTCTTCTTGGTAAGCGACAGACATCCTATTTAACTCTGGTTCAATGCCTTTTATTGTTAACTCCTTTAAATACAAAATATTTCCAGTTACAATAAAGACACACAGAAGGTGATATGCACGTTTTATTTACTTTAATTTTTTTCGTTTTCAAATCTACCCATCTATCTTTATTCACTTTCTCGGATGCCATTTGTTTATCAACTGCTTTTTTAAGTTCGATTTTATGCCGTTCTTCTTGACTAGCTAAACTGTCGTTCATTTTTTTTGTCAACTCTTTCACGGTGGCCGCACAATTTGCGCTCAGTTCTTTCTTCTCATTTATTAGCTGAAAATCAAAATAATTTTATTACTTATTTATTGTATAATTAGCTTGTTAGTAAAGTAATTAAACTGTTTCAAAATTTACTTTGTCGATGAATTTCTGATGCCTTGTTACGGTAGATTCGTAATCCGCTTTACTTCTTGCGTGTTCCGCTTGCAGTTCGGTCATTGTTATTTTGAGTTTTTCAATCACATCTTCTTTTTCGGTTAACTTTAAATGTAGACTTGCTACTTTCTGCGCCAACTCGGCCTTACCGAGCTCCATAAATTGTTGTAGAGTTCCTTTTTTACAACCGGTGAGTTTCTTTTCAGGTCTAAACAAAATTATAGAGTTTACTATTAATGAAATATGCCAGAAACCTAACCGACTTACGACGGAGGCGTACTCGTCACAGCTTCGGGAGACTTACAACGCTTAAGCGTTTTGGAAGGAGTGGAACAGTTCGAATTTTTTTCTACCTCGTCCAAAAATGACCAAAGCGCCCTTTGGAAACGCGTTTCAAAAACAAAAATAAAAAATGCTTTAAAAAATGTCAAGATCCAAAAAAAAAAAATAAAATAAAAAATGGCCATTTGATATTAACTTTGAACTGGAAGTTTCTGGAACTAGAGTCTGTTGTTTATTTATATCTGAAACACCACTTTTTCTGACATTCATGTCTACAAGAAATAAGAACAAGAATTGTGTTTAAACTGTTTGTTAGGTGTATTATTATCAATAAGTACTAAAAAATACAATGTGGCAATATTACTGCATTAAAATATAATTAGGTAATGAAGTTTAACTAAGGCAAATCATCTTTATTATAATTAACTACTACCAATATCGTCGTTTTCTGATTCGAGTTCTTTCAATATGCTTACAATCTCTTCGTAGGTAGACGTTTTACGATCGTCCATCTGTGAAACGTCCAATGAAAAAAAACATAAAATTAATTTAAAAAAAATTATATTATGTTATCTCATAGCAACGCAGTTATTGTTAATTTTAACTCACAAACATATGACTGTATTTTGGAGTCGCGGGTCTTTGGTTCGGATGACTAGACATCCACGAAACAACTTCTACTTTAGAGTGGTCGTCGACCGGTGAGACATCAGCTCTCAGATGTTCCCGTTTCTTTTCGGTGACCACAACGGGCTTGGATACTTTGACGGCATCGTTCTGGCCGTCTGAAGCTTTACATTTGACCCCATCTCTTTTTTTCACATCAGCAGACCTGGCCAAATCCTTTATAGTCTTAACCGCGGTCGGAGTTATTTTCTTCTTCTTCTTTTTGATCGTCGTCCCACGGCGGTTGTCGTCGTTCTGCAATACTTCCAACAGGTCCACTGACACGGTAGCTTTGAGCTTATCGTCGCTGCTTATAGCCGCGCTCAAGTTCGAGTAGAGATGCTCCTCGTCCAACTGATCCTGGCTACCCCGGATGCTCATGGATGAACTACTCCTGGTGTACGTTATAGTGCCTTTGTCCTTGTCGATGACCCGTTCGCTGTATTCGTACGACATGCCGTTTAACGAGACGAGGTCGGGTTCAATGGCGGTCGTGACCTGAGAGACAGGCACCGAGTTGGGAAACCATCTCTGGAACTTAAGCTCAATAGCATCGTCAAAAGTCACCGAGGAATTTTTGACCTCTCGCCCGTAATATTCTTGAGGAGAATTACCGGTTGTTGTGGTCGGCGGTATGGGGGGCTTAGAAGTTAGCCCGGGTTCAAGGCGGTCGTCGTTCGGTTTTTGTTGTTTATTGTCTTTTACTGATGTAGAGCAACTGTCTTCAGACAATTCTGCAACGTTTAATTCGTCGAAAGTGTCCTCGATCCGGTTCCTTGCACCTTCCACAGTGTAAACAAAAAAATTGTAATTAGGTTAAGTTAGATTAGGTTCACCTAGAATCTCACGAGGCGAGATGCGAGGTGAAAAACAAGGAAGAATGCTGGATCTCAAGGCGTTAGGTGGACGCCGGACAGAACACAGGAATCCAAACTGAGAAAAAATATATAAACGGTTGCATTGTTTTTATCATTGTAGTATTTGTTTATTTTTATAATAATAAATTATGACGGCTCCGAATACCTTACAGTTTGGTTACGGAGGCGCCTACAATTCTGAAGTGTAAAAAAGAAAAGGTTAGGTCAGATATGATGTACAAATTGAAGTTTGGAATAAAATGTGGAGTATTTTTTCAGTACTAATTGCTTAATTTATTTACATACATTAGTAATGGACTGGGAATTTGGGTGTCTGAATTTTTCCTATTTACACATTTAAAATAGGTAATGATAACATAGACCCAGACCTATCTAACAGTTCCGTTTTAACTTGTTACTTCATACCCTATAGTATTGTTTTTGACGATATTGTTATGTTGTATACATTTTATTTCATGGTTCGTAGTAATATGAACTTACTATTAATTTATATCTTGGCAACGCTTTATATAATATAAATACCTAAAGTTTTAGGTATATACTTTCATTGTTAACATCTGTTTATTACTCAAAAAATTAAGAATCACTGAATTATTTGGTCACGAGCGACCCAAGTTAGCATAAACTTTATTATGATATTCAAATTATTTACCTGTTTCATTTTGTTGGTTATTGAAATTGAACGCATTATGTCGATTATTATTAGACGTGTTAAGCGTATCGGCAGATTGAGGTCTTTTAACTAGTTTAGGCTTACGAGGCGATTCCTAAGCATGAGTAAATAAAAAAAAAAGTATTAGTGAATTTAAATACAAGTATGACGCCGTTTTGCATTATAATTAGCAACCTGATTGACTGGACCCAAAGTAGAGGCTGACATTGGTCTCGACGATTGACGGTTGAGCGTTGACAAGTCAACGTTCTCATTGTAAAAGCAGCGTAGAGGACTTGATATATTAAAATTTGTCAAGCGGGATGAAAGATTAATCTGAGGAATGAATTAAGTTTTTTTTTTTAGTTCATACAAGGTAAAATAGGTAATAATTAACACATAGTAGGTCTTCACAGAACTACGTCTCAGAGAATAATTATTAATAAATATTACAGCTTTTCTCTTTGAAGTATAAATAAACTTAATGTTTTTTTTTTAATTATGTGTTTAAAACACTAATACCAAAAGCCGATAATTTTACCCGCAACAAATAAGTAGGGATTCTTATTAGGCCTTTTTAGACTAGAATAGATAATCAGAGATGGTAGGCAATATAGGTTTTATCTTAGATCCTATAAATACTAGAATTTATTTTGACTTCGAAATTTCATTATTTTATTCATATATAATTATTTAATTGCTAGTACCTACAACGTTTAATTTAAGCGTATCCGGTTAACATTTTTGTTTTGTTAAAATGTTTAACGTTAAAAGAACGGACGTCACTCGGCAAGCACGTAGATAAAAATATGTCATTTGCACGTTTAACTTCATTTTTTGTTTGAGCTCGGATAATATTGTACAACTGTACGTCTTACGCACGCGGTCACGTTGCGTGCATAATATTTATTCTTATTAATACAATAACAATACTGTAGGAATATCGCGTGACAAACAAATGCGTACGGAGTCTAATAACAAGACGGGAGTCTTAATATTACTATTAAGTGTTAAAAGACAATAAACCAAAATAATATAACACTACAATCTGACTAGTATACTATTATTCAATAGGTAAAATATTCTAAGAACACAAACTTTAGTGAAGTTGATATAACTATAACTAAAATAGCCAGCTGTAGTACAGTATAATCTTATAGGAAGCAAGCCTTACACAGTTTATTTAATTATTAATTCATTCATTCGCACTGACAACGTTCAAATAGATCAGATGGCTGGTTCATTATAATGTTTACTCGTGTCTGTTGATTTACATTTACAAGTTACCAGAACGATAACTAAAGTCGAAGATTTTAAAAGTCCATTAAAGACATTCAGATAATGCATGTATAATAATATAGTCTTATAGACTATACCTAGATACGGCATGTCGACTAGATTAATACTCGTGATTCCATAAAAACTAATACGATTTAACGTTACTGACTGTAACATAAATAAATGCATCGTACAAAATATTGCCTAGTATCAAACTAATATCAATTATCAAGAAAAACAAGAAGGTGTGCTTTCTAAAGTATGATAGAAACAAATTAAAAAAAAAAAACACCAATGATACTTAGCCTCAACGGTACATACTTGCGAGCCCCGTAACGATAAAGATCCGGGGGAAGTGGCGTTTTTATTGTTCGGTTTTTTCGACATCTTCGTTACAGTCTTGTGTTAACATAAGCATAATCGTATCGCAATACATAGATCAATCCAGAAATATAAATTTATAATTTATACATGTATTATAAATTACCAAATAAATGTAGTTCAGTGTAAGCCTTTGTCGCACTCGATTCCCGTCCAACATTTACATTAGTTAGTACAACTCTCAACGCAACAACAACAAATCGGTTGCCCGGCAACTCGGCACTTATTTTCCATACAATTCCAGCTTGTGCTCGTGAATACTATGATGTACTTATGTAACAATAACAACAAAAATAATAATACTATATTTTTATGGTAGGTAATAATCAGTCCAAGAAACGTCCACGACGTGCACAATAAATACACAATGTAATGTGTATACATAAATAATAATTGGTTCAAAAACCTATATATATACCTTACTTACATAAATTAATATGTATTAGAACAAAATAAGATTAAGGTGTATACATCTATTCAATTTCATGTTGAACTATCGTAACATTTTACAATATTTACATGAATAGAATAGAGTAATAATGAAGACAATGTACTTGAATTTAACGGATAATGAATTCTGGAGTTATCAATGTTACTTATACGTTGTCTCACTTGTTTGGTAAAACAAGTTATACCATAATATAACAATGAAAATAATCGAGACACAATTCAAATTTGCTATTTTTTATTTCCACCTTTTCTCCCGACATGCCCAATCTATTTGAATTTGTTTTTCTGCTAAAAGCGCAACTCCCAAACTTTCAAATATTTACTTCCATTTTAAAATGTTTACCGTAGGTAGTTACTCCATACTTCCATATCGACATTTTCATATCAACTTCTTTTTACATACACCTATTTTTTTTGTTTTTAAGATTTAAATTGTGTTTTCACGATTTATGTAATGATTCATAATTTTGTTTAAATTGTATGTAAACATACTATTGGCTATTCGACGTGTTTTAAGACTAGTCTGATTCTGACCCTAACATTTTTTCTATTTATTTCATAATTCTTAGTTTTAAAAGTCTTCTCAAAAAACATAAAAATTATTATCTGTATAGTAGAGAAAATTATAATTTTAACAACATAGTGACAGTTTCCAAAGTTAACAACTAAAAATAAATTTAATATCTATTTAAAAAATGTTTTTTTTATTGTTTTATAAGGGAAACAAATATCTTAAGCAAATTAAAATGATAACTGTTGTCTACGATCGGACAAATTTTTAAAATAGCCAAAATGGTTAACACTCAACAGTATATACGTACAACAATATAAAAAATATCATTAGTAACATAATAGGTACGTCGTGAATACACCTACTGTAACATGAGTCATGACAACATTTTACAACATCAAACAAAATATTATTGTTTACGCAAATTTTCCGAGGCTGTTGGCAACCCTGATCAGGTTTGTAGATTTTGTATTCTTATCAGACACCGAACTGCTTATCATAATGCTCTATAGTAATTCGATAGTATTCGGTCTTATTATCGAAACGCCATTAATTTTGTTTAACCATTAAGCGTCAGGTCGCGAATTACTGGTGTGTTTACTCTGTAGTGTATTTTTGTAGTTAGTCCAAAAAACCTTGTGGTAATTACGTTAATTCCTCACGCTTTATTCAATTATTGTTCGGAAGTCGTTTATTCGAGTGTAACCAAAACACAATGAGTGATACATATACAAACGAAGAACTGGACGCGGCCAGAGTCGCACATCATTTGTCTCCAAGCAAAATGGGACTACTCGCGCCCAGTCCTATAGTTACCCGAAGGACAAGGACGGACTCCACGTAAGTACATCAAATTTTTCGTTGGTCATTATTTTTGAGTTTAACTTGGGCCGTTGCATATCCACTTTACGACGGGCTTAAGGTAAAATGAAATACGGTAACGGTAATGAAGTATGGTTTAAAATACACGTTTTATTATGTTCATTATTTGCTTATAGTAATTCGTTAACCATATTTCACTTTATGTTGTGTTCAATCTACATCTCCTAGCCCCGGGATACCTAATTTGTATCCGGGCGGTCCGTTATCAGTATACTCTACTGCGTCTAAGGACGGCTTGTATAGCGTGAGGGGGAGGTCAAAAAGGATTCTGATAACAGATTGTCCGTGTTCTCATAAGGATTCCAGGTGCTCGATTTGTCTGGTGATACAGGCACATTGTTTACTTTGTGCATAAAATCTTTCTAATTTTGTTTGATCATAACTTTTTGTACTGTATGTTAATACACATCACTTTTTACCTCGTTAGATCTGCTCTGGCTCTGAGAAATCCGCAAGTAACAGGAAATGTAAAATATTTTTGCAAGTCAAAAGGACACGGATTTATTACGCCTGACAACGGCGACGCCGATATTTTTGTGCATATATCTGAGTAAGTACAATTTTTTTCTTATTCATTACCTATACTTTTGACTATATTCTTGTAATTTTTTAGTATCGAAGGAGAATACGTTCCATTACCTGGAGATCGAGTCCGCTATCGTCTATGCCCTGTTCCGCCAAAATTAGAAAAAAACCAGGCTACGCATGTAGAAATCATCAACTTAACACCTCAAGTACATTTGAGGTGGGATTCTCCAGAAACCAACTAATCTGTCACAGGCTTAATATTGTAAAATAATATACATTACATAAACACTTAACTTCCATTATAACTAATACATTCCAATTACCACTACCTCTATTACGTTAGGCAATATCCTCTAGTAGTTCTGTTGTGCGGAGTGCCGTAATACACAATACATACGCAACCCAATAATTTAATGTTGTTTAATGCTAATTAAAAATGAAAACATCCTGATTTCTAAATGTATTGAATTTATGTGGTTACAAGTTTGTTTTAAATGTAATTTTTTTTTCTTCACAATTAAAAAATTGGAAAATTAATTTTAGAAATAGGTCATATTTCCCCCTCTTTATATCCCTAATATAAAAAAAAATATTAATCATAATAGTTAAGTTAAAAATTAAAGTTTAGATACTGATAGCAAAAGACAGACTGTTGTCACAACATTATACCGTTTGGCTAGTCATTATGTTATTACATTTGTTCATTTCAAATGTTAATTGTGAATTTTTTTTTAATGTTTCCTTCATTAAAACTTGTCATTTTTTTCATGATGATAGTTTACATGTAAATGAAAACATATCAAATTTGTTAATTTTTACAGTTAAGAACTTTTTAAATTACACTATTTAGATAGAAAATATAAGTATACAAGTATAATATAAATATAAGTATACAAATTTGTTTAATTATTATAAAAATGCGTAAATATTTGTAAAGCTTATCATCACTTGTTGTTTGTACTGTACTTTAAAATTAAGAACCTTTAAATTTAGTGTAACACGGTTATTATAATGGTTTTTTAACATTAAATTTGTATGTGATGTGGCCAATTTGTTTTTGTAAATTAACAATTACCGAATTTGCTTTCAAGCATAGTTTAAGAATTTTGGAACAAATTGTATGTAATTTATTTTTCTACATGATTTCATAGCCAAACATTCGTTTTAATTTACAAACCAATTTTTATATACAATTAAAAAGACAATTATTATTATTATTATTATTATTACTTATTTATTGTAGTTTTAAGGGTACAAATATTTTCAATGTTTAAGATGTCAAAAAAAAAATACATTGTGTCATTAATGTGAGAAATCATAATTGAAGTTTAATAATTAGTACAGTGTGTTTTACCGTCTCATGTCCGTGTAATTTAAGGTGTGTTGTTTTAAAAATAAAATTTGTGGTTATAACATTTTTTTTAAATATTAAAAAAGATAAAGTATAATATTTGGCTTTTTAGTGTTATTGCTTTTATTGTAGTATCTAATTCATCTTGATTGCATTATTATAATAAACTTTTAATATTAATTAGTATTTATGATATTATTCGTTGTGTTTTAAATTATAGAAATAATTGGAGACTTATAAATTCTAAAGTCTATCCTTAAACATTAAGTGGTATTTTTAATTTGTACTACTACTAACAGTAATTGCATAAAACATAAAATATAAAATTATATATTTTAATAATGTTTTAGATAGTACAATGTAATTTTGATCTCGTTATTTCTTTTCTACAAAGTAGAAGCATCGATTAAACAAACATGAGATTGTACATTGACAGACTAAAATGTACAAAAATGAATCGTCAGTTTTAAAATTTAACTTATTTGAAATTTTTCCAATTTGAAACTATTATATATTGTATATATGTTTAGTTTAGATACATTCAACAAAAAAAAACATAAATATATTATGTTACCTTTATTAAAAGAAAAATACCAGCAAGTTAACGAACTCCAAATTTTTACAATATACATATTTTGGCTTAATATTGAGTCATAGTTGGTCATATCTTTCATTATAAAAGAGAAGCAACTCCAATAAACGCAAAAAAAAAAATAGAAAATACGGAATGAATACATGTATTGATTTGTCTACACATTAATTTACAAAAAACTCGTTATTTCAAAATTCAATTACAAGGAGATGATATACTTTAACAATGAACGACACATAAATGTACAAATGTAATCGATGAAACGATTATGAGAATTATATCTTAAAATAATTATTCGTGCTTGACATTATAGCCCCTTATATATACACATTAGGCAACATAATATACACAAACGATCCGCTTTCTCTATTATCTTTTATTGTGCATGCTTTTTAATTGACAAACATATTATTGCTAACTTTATGGTATATACTTGTACAATAAATATTATATATTATTATTATTGTGGTCGATTCGATTTCCATGCAACACAATATAACTGATTTTTTAAGAAGTCGTAAGTTAATTCTCAAATCAATAATTTGAATTTTAGATTAGCATTGTAACAACCTAAAAAAAAATTATATTTTCCAACGATTCAATAGACAATAATTCATTTATTTTCACCACCTTTTTTCATTCTGGACCATTGAGTGTTAAAAATTATTTAAGAAGTCGTTACAGTAAAATGCATTGTTTTTGTCTGTAAAAAGTACAATGATAGAATATAATAATTAATAAGAAAATAATTTATTGCAATAAAATTCCACTAGAGTATGGCTTATACTAAGGTGGACATATTATTAAAAATGATTACAAGTTAAATAAAACGCATAAGGTTAGAATGTTTATGTTTAATATTATATGACTTTTTTAAAAATGAGAAATTAAAAGATATCTTTCCCAAGCCAATTAAATAAAGTACTCCTCTTTAATTGAACTAAGGTTCACGGTTTTTCATATATTCTGCGGATTACGTGTAACACACAAGCATAGGCTTCTAAGCTAAAAACTAAATGCTAATGCACACTTACGGTAAGAATACAGTTTTTTTTTACCTTAAATGCTGATGTAACCAAAATTTACCTACCTGAAATTTGTAGGATTAATTGACAAAAAACTAGCGAAAACTAAAATGTAACTAGAATGTTTTTGTATGTTGTTAGGATTATGTAAAACATATTGAACAAAATGAGAGGAATATCAAATAGGTACCGGTAAAACCGGGTTACTTGGGACTTTAAGGGTAATTTGGGACATGAGTAAAACAATATATATTAAGAATATATAGTGTTTTACTTAAGTCCCAAGTAACACGGTTTTACGGTAATGTTTTTATCAGTACACTGTACAGTGTTTAAAGCTCATAAACTATATTTTTAAGGGGAGGGGGGGAAACATATATATTTACAAACAATTAGTTTTTACCCATTTTTAAAAACGTTCAGTACTTACTAAGTATTTTGATTATTATTTATTTTTAGGAGTCTAGTAAGGAACGAAGAAGGGAACTAATTTTTTTAGGAAAGAAGCTTTAACAACTGCACTGTTCACAATTATTATAACCTCTTCATGCACAGAATTTTTAAATTTAAAAGAAAAAATTAATTTATACGGATATTCGGCTGAAAAGACTGAAAAAAATAATAAAAAAATTCCACGGTCAATCCTTACTTTGTTACCGAGGGTAACAACCCCCGGCATCAAATGATACTTCTATGCAAGTCTGCAACAAATATAATTTATTTTAACTTTTCAAGATTTGTTCTTATTTCACATAAAAACATTAAGAATGTTCATATTATGAACACAGTTATAAAATAAATAATAAACATGCTACTCGCGTTTTATATAGTCTACAAGAAAATTTTATTTTAAATTTAAATAATTAATAATAAAATATATTATTAATAACAGAGGTATTAACATATTGTTTGAAACTCCTTAAACCCAGATGGTCCTGCTGATGTAGATGGACCTAATGACTTAGTTACTACAGGTTGTTTTGCTATCGTTTCAATGTCAGATATATTTCAATTATTTTGTTTATCAACAGTTATAATAATACCATCAATACCATCATTTATACTATCATCATTCCCAAACCTTATATCATCATTTATATTGCCTAAAAAGTCACTAATGTCATGATAAGCTAGATTCAGTTTTTCGATACTAAATTGGTCATAACTATTTTTGTTTTTTTCATTTTCAATATCAATATCACTGTCATTGTCATCACTATCACAAAAACTAACTTCTGAGCAGGAGGGTATATCAAAATCCAAGAAACATTCAATTTCTTCATCTTGTAAATTATTCATAATTATATACTAAAACAAAATTTAAAAAAATAAATTTTTAGAAAAAAAGTTGTAACACAGTAATACGTAAGTAATATGTACCTTTTTTGCACGGTGGTATCGTTTGATACCTTGTATATTTACGTAAATTATACAACTCCTAAACTACTAAAGAACCGAAACTTAATAAAAAACAATTCCCTATAACATATTATGTGTTGTACATAATTTTTCTAAATTGTAATTTTAATGTATAATAATGAAAAATCATTAGTTCCACCGGTAAAATGTGTACTTTATCACTATCGGAGTTAATCACATTTGGATTTGTTTTATTTCTTATATATAAACCTAGTAACAAATAAAGTGATATGATTCTTATCAAATGTACACAAGTGATACTTTTTTGCAATTACGGACCAACAAAACATATTATGTAGTTTATCAATACATGTATTATGTTATGGTATCATATAATACCTACATGCATGAAGAGGATAATATAATATTATTAAACAAATTTAGGTTATGTGATTATTTCCAAAGGCTAATATTTAAATTAAAGAAAATCACAAAATTCTATGTTAACTTTATTATGCATTTTAATGTTTATGCTGGACAAATGTAACATGTGTATGATAATTACTTTATAATATGATAGTCATACAATGCTTATACGTTGACATTTTGAAAGTTATATTTTTCAAAAAGAAAAATGTTCAAGAAAAAAGCGTTGATTAAATCTTCCAAGCGCAAATAGCCAAATTGCCACCAAAAAACATATATATTAAAGTTTTCGTCTGATGTGTCATTTGTATGCCATAAGCTTCTCCGACGATTGTATTCCATTGAGGACCGTATTTTTTGTCCATCATTTGTTTGATTGTTTTAGCAGCCGCCTAGATTTAATAATAGTAAAAATAAAAATACACAAACTAAGCATTTATTTGTTTTTTTGTTTACTAAAAATTTATCACACTAATACTAAATCTTGGGCTTAAAATTGTAATGTTCTTATATAGACACCGGGCTAGCGGGAAATATTACTAATAATAGTGTTGTTTTAACACTATTTTTTCTAATTCTATTTAGTTTTAAATCATGTTCTATGTATCCTTGTAAAAAGTGCCCACGGTTTTAAAATGCAATATTAATATAAGCATAAATTTGTAAATAAAACCCACCTTTGTATACACAATTGTACGCATAATGTAGATGAACAATGTTGATGTTTATTTTCTCTTAAAATCTGATTTTTGTTTTTTTATAAATCCAAAATACATAGGTACATTATGTTATACCGTTTTCTATTATAAGTGTAACCAGTTATTTAAGGTGACAATTTTATAAAGACAGTTAAGTGATAATTATTGAAAGCACACAATAGCATATTATACTAAAATTTATTTTTCAATGACATTTTTAAATGCACAATGTACGGGTCTGAATACAAGGATACACGTACTTTAAGCCCGTTAAATTAAAAAAAAACGTGTTCTTAACTATGTTTATTATCTTGCTGAAGCTAAAATTGTAAAATATTATCAATAAAAATGACCCTCACATAGTAGTCGTTTCCAAATTTTTCACAAGCCGTTATGATTACTTCGATCGCTTCGGCTTTCATTTCTTCAGACATATCACAAATCTATAACGACACGGTTACATGTAAAGCTGTTTTTCACTTTATGTTTCAAATGAAAACTCACTTTTACTAAAGGATATGTATGGAGTATCTTTTTTCCTTCTTCCTCTTTGCCATCTCCCAATTCTTCCATGGTCACTATGGCCAAAGTACTTGCGTTTTAACTTTTAGTCAAAAGCTACACAGCCAAATTACAAAAACTGAGTTATTGATTCTCTGCTTTTGTTGTTGCTAGGCGCACACTATAATTATAATCGTCCGTGACAACTTTATGCGTTTTACCATACTTCCATTAAATATGAGGTTAACTATTATTCTTATGTTAGAAATAAATATTTTTGTTTTAATGGTGCTCAAAAACAGACTACATACTAAAATCTCTGCAGGTAGATTTGCTACCGAATATTTAAGCCCCCTAATATCTGTCAGGATCTCTGCTTATGCTTAGGGCATAATCTCAAATAAGTTGTTAGAGTAAATTTATGTTGTTAATATTTAGTTTGTTTTGTTAAAATAGGATCTAAAAATATATATTGTTCAGAATAAAAATTTATCTAGTTACAATTTACCTACACTTTCGATACTTTCATTGGCAATCTATTTACGAAATGTACGAAAAGGGAGTAGGGGCTATTTATAGAGGCAGATAAAAATCGACATAAGAGCCATCAACTAAAGTAAATCCATCAATTTGAAGGTAACACAATGTTTAAAGTTATATTTTCTTGAGCTGTAATACCTTTTTTGTAAAAGCTAATAAAAAAAAATGTATATTTTCTGAGCTATGGAATATGGTGAAAGTTTAATACAAATTGAATTAAAAAATTACTTAGATTTATTGGAAAAACTACAAATAAGTAAAAATATAAACGCTACAATAAAATTTCAAAAACAAAACTAATCTTTTTAAAGGTACTACGAAATTATTATATTTTTCTATTAAATTTGTTCAATTAAATCAATAAATAATAAATACATTATAATGAGAGGTAATGTATAATATAGTTATTTAAAATACGCCTAAATAAAATTACAATGACATAATAACAATTGTTTTTTTTTAACAAGGAATTTGAACAAGAAAGTAAATTAGTTCATACAAAATACATAGAAAATACGCTTTATTAAATGTATTAATGTTATAAAGCTTAAGTCTAATACCTAGGTTTCCTGTCATGCAATATAATTGCCTGACCCTTAAGCCAATTTAAACTATCAGAGCCGGATGAACCATTAAAGCATAGATCATAATTAATATTCACACTTTGTGAACCTATTTTTGTGTAATATTTTTTTAATACGATTTTTTAACTGATAAAGAATTAACAGGTCTATTTTTTTCGAAGGAGGGATTCTAAAATTATTTTTATATTTTATTTATATATTCATGACTGAAATTTGGAGTCCTACGAGATAAGTGCCTAAGGCGGTCTAATGGCTTAATGGCTGCAAACTATGCGAACTACTTGATTTTGCTCAACAACTAGTACCTATTGAATATTTAGCTACTTAGATTATATTAACAGAAAATCGACTTATGTTAGATTTAACATATCAGCTTTAAACTACTACAACTATTCTGTAGAATGATGGAAGAGTTATTTTTTTTGATCAATTAAATCGTTGGTCATGTATTATTTTAATTATTATTAATACCTAATTTTATTGTAAATAATTGTTGGCTATCAATGTCATCATTAAGTAATTTAAATTTGTTCCCAATTACTGTATAGATAATAAAATAAAAAAATATAAAAGTAGCTCGAAGACTTTGTATACACATTATTAATTATAATACTTAGGTAGTTAATACGTTTCGGTAAAATAATTGCAATAAACTTTAATCATAGAACAAAACATATAGTTATATAACATGGTTCAAAATATAAAATATGACTTTATATAAATAGAATTCAAAAATAAATTAAGTTAATATTATAATTTATTTTAATATATTTCTCTAATAACATGTTTAATTATAAAAAAATATATCACAATACCATAATATTATGTTGTTATAGCATTGGTGATACATGTTAACAAGCTATAATAATATGCATAACCAATGACAATTAATTACAGTTTAAAGATAAGGAAAAAAGTATACTTATATTTTAATAGTAGGTAATTAAAACATAGGTATACCCCTAATGCAGTGTATTTGTGATAACTATTAAAAAAAAAAGGTAAGTTAACTTAGCATAGCATCCATCATGACTTATACATAGTCAGTTTGATAATTAAAAAGGACCTATTAACTGAAATTATCATAAATCGTAGTTTCAGATCTAAGATCGTATTCAATATATCAAATATACACTCTAAGACGTCATCGAGCGTTATCGCAAATACTCTGCAGAAGAGTTTCAAACGTTTTGTGACGGTACACATTAGTATACAATAAAAAAAGTTAAGATTACGCATGTTTTTACATATAATATTCTGACTGGCATTCCAACAATTTATTATTAGATATACAAACGGAATTTTCAAACATTCATAATATAATTTCTTCACAATACATTAATTATACACATTCTACAACGACCTCGCAATGGTAAAATACAATAGTTTGCCTGTAATATATATTATATTATGTTTAAAAATCATAAAAAAACTCGAAAGTCAAAAAATTATTTTAAGAAAAAGCTTCATGATTAAAATCTAAGCTGTATAGAATTATTCTACTTCTTTCGACAACCGAGTATTTGATGGTTATGCTATACTGATGATTCGTCCAAGTGATCTATAAAGGCTGATCATTTAGACGATTCATCAGTACAGAATCCATCGACATTTTTTATATTTTGCACGTTCAGGAACTTTGACAAATCATTTTATTATTTTTCGCGATTTTTTACCCAACCCGAAACGAGCTCAATCGACTTAGTGTTAAAAACCTAACCAAAATCGATAAACTTTAGGTGGACGCGCTAAGTGGCGTAACGCCCGAGGACTGCGTTTCCGAATAGACGGCCGGTTTAGGAAACAACAAACGCAACGCACTATGGCTGTATTCAAACGCCAAGAAGATAAAGGCCCCTTGCAGAGAGTTGAGCACAGTGTACAGGGCCCAAACGACGTCGTGGTCGTAAAATGCACCCACCAAGCCAATTGCCCACGTCAAGCCCATCATGAGCGACAGGCGACCGTAAATTTTCATGTTTTTCCTAGACCGGTTGACAGCAGTGTCGGCGGCAAACGACACGCCGTTGGCCGATGCGGCGATCAGTCTGATGGCGCTGATAAACGTCACGTAATTGGTGACGATGGTGACGCCGGCGGGCAGCACGAACAACGCGATCAACGACTCAGGATTAAGGAACCAGCAGGTGTGCTGAAAGTTGGGTTTGAGTTGAGGTACAAATTCGTACACCGTGGACGACCATTGTAGAGCGGCGGCGAACGTCGTAAACGCGGCCGGCGTCAGCCAAGCAAACGCGGAATACGCGGCGAACCGTTTGTTCCGCTTGCCACCCACCAGCCTCAGCTTCTTGGTAGATGCGTACAGCACGATCCACACGTCGGTGGCCATGACGGACATCCAAGCAAAAGAGGCCAAGAAACCGAATTGCATCATCAACGCAGAAACGACACACGACGTTTTTCCTTTCGGCACGGCCCCGACAGCTATAGACAGCCAACTGACGTAGCCCAGCAAGAGACTAAGGCAGAGGCTGGCCAAGTTTTTTTCAGGAAGATTTTTAGGCTCGGCGTCCGCGGCGAACAGTGACAGGTGCGCGATAAGCGACAACGCCGACAGCGCCGAGCAGGTTACGCTAACGTAAGACAGGAAGGCTGCGTACACTGGCTCCTCGGACCAAAGTAATTTCAAGTTGTCAACGCACACCAATATATCAGTACCGTTGGTCGGCGCGTACTCTAGACGTTTCTTGTACGCGAAAACGTATACCGTACCGTTGGTAAATGAAGATCTGTCGAATTCCCCCAGTGACAACATGAATGACTCTGAACAGGCACCCGATTCGCGCATTATGCTCCGGCATTTGGCCGCCGAAACGTCGTAAATTTCGTCGGGGGTGCACGGCTGTAATTTCACGTTAAACAATTGTTTTAAATCCGGGTAAACGCTTCTTAAAGGCGGTTTAGGCACGCATGTTAGTCGAGCGATGGACACGTTGTTGCACAAGGCGCACGCCGCGTTCCTAAACGTTCTACCGGTTCCGGTGGCGTTAAACTCGTACACTTCGTTAGCGGACGACTTGCATGTCTCGGCCAACGGGCCAAGGTTATTGCCGGCAGGACAGTCGTTGACCAGGAGACCGTCGGACGAACAGTGTCGCAGTGGAGGCACGGGTACGTCGGCAGACAACTGTATCTTGCACGAATATATTACTTTGTTATCGTAGTCCGCGAGGTACCAGCGGCGTTCGTGGTACAACAGAATTTGGTCGGACGCGTTTTCGAGACGCGCGGTACGATCGGGCAACTGGGAGGCGGCTGGCGCTAAACACTTAAACAACGGTTTCCAGTATACCACGTTTGGCTCGCCGTTGCACTTAGCGCAGTATGCGTTCCTGTACGTTAGATTACTGGAAGTACCCGTTGCCGGGTAAGCTCCGATCGATAATTCTTCAGCACCGTCACCTCCGTTTGTCTCGCACAGTTGTCTATTCGCTAGCTGGCGAGCTGTCAAGTACGCCCTGGACGGACACCGGCCGACCACCTTCACCACCAAATCGGTGTTCGGTACGTTGTAGCACCCGAAACGGCTCATGGCCGCAGACTGCTCACGCTCGTTGTAAAACGCGCTGTCCCGACAACAGTCGCCATATGACCGGCAGTGTTCGTCCCCGTAACAATGTTCCAGCGTCCGTCCGTTAACCACGAATTTTTTTGTGCATACTAAATTCGTGTCGGTCCTGCAACGGATAAAACCGATTTATTATCGCTATAAAACAATAAAATAACAAAAATTTAAGTCTTAAGACAGCAGGCTTTTACCTTTCAGCCGAATTTTAAAAAGCGTTTGTCATATTAACATATACTTGTAACATCACAATGATTATTATAGTCATCAAGAAGCCATATTTACTTCGTTATTCAGACACACACAACAATTTACCGAAGTCAATCATATCTCCCAAACAACATTAATGATTTCGTTTACTACAATAGAAAATTAGTAATGCTTTGGCGCCGATTCGTGATGAGCATTAACTTTCACCGTGAACTCTCTTGTTCACATACGTACTCAGAAAACACAAATACACACGCGCGCAATTACTTAACCTATCAACACAAACCGCTCTTTGTCATTATTATCACACGTATGTAAGATATAAAATAATTTTCTCTATATCCTGGAGCGTCATTATTATACATTATTCATCAGATTGTAAACAATAATTATTAAGATGTATATCAGATCAGATCAGGCATTGATTAAATATATTATAGATATAACCTAACAAGTCTACGACCTGTTTGGTGGCCATTTCTCTCTCCAGCGGTTGCCCACCCAGCTAGAGAAACAGCCAGCGACCGAGATTCGAACCACGGCTAGTGCGTAGAAACACTGCCGCGATAACCCTTTCGGCCACGACACTATAGATATGCAAACGCTAATTTAACAATCGGAAAAATTACGAAACTAAAATAAACTATGCAATCCTAAAAAAAGAAGGTTAAAATATCATAGTTTATCTATATTATATTTAATCTATTATGTAGGACATATTTTTAAAATAAATGCATACCTCTTTAAAACTCCGTCGTTCAAATCTAAGGTGTCCATTTCCATGGGCGAAGCAGTCATATTGAACATGTCATAATCCGGTAAAGGTATTGTTGATTCGCTATTGTCATCTGTTTCACTATAAAAATTAATCTAATCAATGATTGATTCGACAACAGAAAATCCAACTGTAATAACATAATACATGGTACTAATAAAAATATATAATATATATTAAAAAATAAAATGCTTTTTTATGTCAATAACTTTATAATCCATTAAGTAAATTGTAAATACAACAAATGACGACATTTAATTGATAAGTAAGCAATTTCAAGAATATTAAAATAACAACTAAAGCGAATAACTTTTATACAAAATCTAGATTCTGAGAGCATACGTCTAATTACATTATAATAAAATCAACAATACATAATATAAAAAAAAAAAAAAAACATAATATAATATAAACGTTACAAATATAAGAAAGGAAAAACATGTACAAATTATTAAACGTGGTAAAATCTGCCCTGTAAGCGGCGTCGTCTTGGATTATGGCCGAATTTCTAAGGGCAGACGTTTAATACAACACCCATGGTTATTTATGATTTTAATTCAGTCTTCGTGCTTTGTTTGATTTTTTGGCTTGGATCGCGGTACTCGTCCGGATATTATCAGCTGTCGAGTGGACACCATTAGTATAGAGTCTCTGATGACGTTTTCTCGGCGCTAACGGGCACGCTGCTATCGGCGGACGACGACCAAGAGAACGACGGCGGAGGGTGTCGAATGGACGTGACGTGGTTCTTCTTTTTGTCGTCTTTGTCGAAATCGTTGTCGTTGCCAACCAGCGAGTTCAGGTACCGCCGTCGACAAGTAAACGCCGCGAACACGAACAGACCTTGGAACGCGTTGAGCACCACGAACAAAACCCAAAGGTGTTTGCTGTCGAAGTAATTGGCCACGATGCCGGCGCTCCACGTGAGTCCCATTAGCACAGCCAAGCGGCAGTACATGCGGAAATCGCGGCGAACGTGTCTGGTGCTGACGTGCCGGCTCGTGCAGCGGCTCATGTGAATCATGTACGTTGTCCACAGGAACAGTACAAAGTTGATGAACATGACGGCAGTCAGCGGACCCGCGAAGAACACCAGCAGCGCCGTCTTGCCGCCGAACCAACATTGGTCGGCGCCGAACTTGGGCCGCAGGTGTTCGGGAACGCCGGGAGTCGTATCGGCCAACACTGCCACGAAAGCGATCATGGCCGGCACAAGCCAGCAGATGGCCGAATAGATTAAAAACTTTTTAGTCTGCCTTCCGGAAGACACGCGCAGTTCGACCGTAGCCAACCGGAGCGTGCGCCAACAGTCGAAACTCATGATCAACATCCAAGCGAACGACGCTAGAAACAGATAATAGGTGAGCGTGGCGTCCACGTAACAAGCGACGCCGGTTAGCCAGTTTCCGGTGACGAACGCGGCGTACGCGAATATCAGCGACACGCTAAAGGAAGCCAGGTTCTTGCCCGATAAGTTTTTCATTTCTGGTAGCACTGTGAACACAGCCAAATGGATGATCAAGAACACGGTGGACACGCCCAGACCGACGTATGTCAACACGACTGACTTGAGCGATTCTAAGGGCTCAGCTCTGATGGCTGCGTCTTCGGCGCAAACGGCCATCGTACCATTGTCGAGCAATACGTAGTCAATTGTGCCGTTACCCGGTTGCCAGCCGGGCGTTACTTGCGTGTACATGGCCACTTTAGTGCAATTGAGTTGCGGCAAGCCAGATGGTACGAGCGGTCGGCACGTCTTACCGAACGGGTCGTAGAACGTATCCGCGCGACAACGCCGGTGACCGGGCTTTGCCAAGAACAGGGTGCCTAGACTACGGGCCGTAAAATCTATATTGAAACGGTTCTGAACGTTTGACTTATTGCACTTCAACTTCTGCACAGGAACGTGATTGCATATGGCACAATGGATGTTTTTGTACGGTTGGTCGAATTCGTAGACAACCGTGGTGTATGCTTCGCAGTTGGATTTGATTTCGTCGTTGGGCCACATTGTGTGACACGAGGTCACCATGTTAGTTATGCAGGGTCGGCTCGACGGCTGCGGCACGGCTTCGACTTTGCATTCGTACGTTTTGCCCAGATACTCGACCGTCCACTGGCCGTCGGATTGTTGCGTTAACGAATTGGCAATGGCGTCCGCGTCCACGGTGACGTTTTCGGTAAAGTTTTGGCACCGGAGTCGCGTGTCCCAGATGACTAGGCCTTTAGTGTCGCTGTTGCACAAAGCACAATACCTATTCCGGTAAGTGACGCCGGTCGTGCCCACCGTCACAGGGTTGCCCATCATTGTAGCGTTTTCGTCCGGCTGTTCGCAAGCCGACCGAACCGGTTTGTCCGTCCATTCGGGTGGACACGACGCCTTCATGTAAACGCCGCTACCGCCGTCGCCGACGACGTTCTGGCCGCCCACCGAAACGCAGCGGTACTGCGCGGGCGCTCGCAGCTGTTTGACAGGGTCAAAGAACGCCGAATCGGTACAACAGTCGCCGTACTCGGCGCAACGTTTGTCGCACAGGCAGTTCGAAGCAAAATCTTCGTCACTTTCCGCCGACGACGACGGTTTGACGACAGTACAGCTTGACTGAGGCTGGCATATCCTGAAAATACCAACATATTATTAGTTTTACAAACAAAAATGAGTTTTATGTACTTAACGAATAAGTTTCTTAATTGCAAACAAACAAACACACTCACACGCATTGAAAAAGCAATATCACATGTCCTTGGAAACGAGCAATTATATTACACAAACATTATAAAAGAACACTGTATAGAAGCGTTTGGCATGATTTAAAAAACAACAAGAACGGCAACAACAGGTTTTTTCTTCATTGCCGTTTCCTAACGAGTCAAAGACGCCTAACAGGTTTAATTATACTTGGGGCTATTATTATATTATTAAGCCGTCCGAAATAACATTGGAACACAGCTCGTGTGGGATAAGTCTACATAATATTAATCATAACAATAGGTTGCGTATCCTAAAATCTTGACCTGACCGATTAACAGTCTCGCCCGTGCTATCCGAACAATGGTGTTTGCGATTAACACATTAATATGTTTTTGGGTCTTCGTGCAAATACACTCGACCGACCGAATTCCTTTAAAAGGCCTACGTGCCATTGCTTTTTTTTACCTCAGACGTGACATAAGCAATCAACAAGGACTTGGAGACTTTAATAGTTTACCCACACGTTTGCAATGATTCAATTGTCTCAATTTCTCGATCGTTGTTAAACTCTCGCAGGATATTGAGTAATTTTAGTCCTGCACGCACAAATTGTAACATAAACAATGCATATAATTATAACAAGATAAAAAAAAAAAAAAAATGTATTGAATCTATACTGCCGTTTTAGAAATTATGTCTGTTCTAGAATTAATCGTTAACAGTGACACGATTAAGAGCAATCGGGTTTTGCAGATGCTAACCCTAAGTTTAAAAAAGTAGAATAGTATATAAAAGTACAATTAGTTGGTGGCAAAAACTTAACATTTAACTTGCCGTCGCTGTTACACGTTTTAAGAGCGTGGCGTCCGTCAATGATCGTGAACTGTACTGTGCTTTAAGTAATTGAAAATGACTCTTACCGATGTGGAATTATAAAACATCACTATTGGTGATTTTTAGTTAATAAAAAAAACTGTCAAGGCAGCTCAAAACCACCTACAGAGAAACGAATGCTATACTGCTAATGTTTTTAAACTGATTAATTGAACACCGACGAAACCCAATGGCACGAAATTGCAATGTAGACTTTCCTAACAAAAATTTTAATTTTAACGTTTTCGAACCTTATATAAGTTGTTTTTTTTTATAAGAGAATCGATTTTGTATTTAAGTACGTGCGTGATTTTCTTCTATTTTAATTTAAATAAAAGTTATTAATTATTAGAGTAATATTTTAATGAATTCAAAATTACATTCTAATGCAGTAAAAAACCTTACCATAAAATTTCATACAAAATTAAAAGCTTTTTTTTTTTATTATAATTTTATGAACTTGACAAACACGATTTTTGTATAGGTGAGATTTTATTTTATGCTGTTTACATATTATACAATATACATGATTTTTAGCATATTTAATTAAACTATACACGGCGTCGAGGTAAATATAATAAAGTATTAACTATAATAAGTAATATTAGTTTATTTTATAAAAACTCGTGCATGCTTGAGTGGGCGGTTTTCAAACTATAATTGAACCTTCGCACATAATAATTAGTATCAAGGTAAATTTTAAACGTGTGAATACCGAAATAAATATGACTTATATCCGTGTTTTAATGCATCACAATTTGTTTGGGAGGTTTATTACTAATTTATTGTTTTTTTACAATAAACGTCGATCATGGATAAGTAATATTGAATCGCATGCACTTAAAAGGAACTATTTGAAAAAAATATCTTTTACAGTAAACATGCTGATTAGTATTTAGTCATAAACATTTCAATAAGTTGTACATAACACAATAGCGACAATACATACACTCGACTGGCTCGAAAATGATACATCAAGCCCAAGCAAAACGTTACAAAAAAGCCACAAGAAAAAACTAATACTGCTAACCAAGTACAAACCAAAATCAATATATACTCCTCATTTTAAAGTGACACATCTTCTGTCAATCGGTATTAAACATTATTTAATTAAGACGATATATAAGAATTTACTCTAGTTCAAAAAAAAACCCCCGACCGTGATTACTAGTAAAAAAAAAAAACTTGAATTTACACGATGTTGTGTCACTTTTGAAAAAAGAGTACAACTGATAATTAATTTAACTATTGGGGCTAACCTGTTCATAGTAGCCGAGTTACTGCGGAAATAAAGAGAAGAGTTGTACAGAAACATTGATACGGCTGCGACTTGAACGTTATTTGTTGGGCAGGTCCGTCTCAGGAAAAATCCCACTATTAAACGTCCTGTATTAAATGCTAACTCGCCGCTTTGTGCTTACCTCAGCTTCTTCAATGAATATTGCAATCGAATTCTATTACTTTTTCCATTGTACTATACATTAGATGTACCTAACCCGACACAATAGTGCAGTGTAATTAAACTTAAGACTATTCCTGAATTTCGTAAACAAATCATTAAAAAAACTGCAACGGTGATGTATCATCCATAATAATAGGTATTCATTAATGAAAACACATTAACATGGACTGTGGCATTTGACCGTCACTGGTAACAATAAATAATAATAACAGTATATAATTATGAGAATTCCATTTACCGAATAGTCTGCCTTAATATCTAATTAATGCGTCGAATAAGTATTAAATTATATGTACTGAAAATCATATTATAATATGAAGCCTAACCGCATTCCGTCCAAAACTCCATTACTCTTTTTACACTAGGTCGATTTCTAAGATCATAGATATAAAATTATTTTATACCCGTGTGTGTATCACGTACGGATGAATATAATCGAAATATTTTATGCAACAATATTAACGTTACACATAATTGTCAAAAGCCGCAGAGTTGCATTATTTGAGAACGGTTTAAATAACTATTTTTTAAAATACAGTTCAAAAATACTAAACGTGATTTAAATTACCAAATTTTTGGTAAAAAAAAAAGAAATATAAATATTTAATACTATGGTCGCTTGCGCAAACGCGTTTATTGAATTATAATTTACTCTGTCTGTGTCAACTATCCAACCTAGATAAACTCATTGAGTAACCGCCTTACATTGCACTGAACAATAGATCATTAATATATCATCATCTTCTGCGGTTCATCCCACATCAAACACAAATGAGGGTCCGACGACCTTATTTTTTTTCTCCATATTCTTCTACCCATGTTTAACATTCTCATATCACGACTGACGTCCTGATTTTTCCCTATGAGTTTTATTCTATTAAATAAAAAATAAAAAATAACTACTCCAACCAATCATCTTGAACATTTCAATTCGGCTTCTTCTAATTTCCATCTGCACTTTTATTTCATTTTCTACTTTCACGTTTATTAATTGTTGTGATTCAATATAATTCCCCCCCCCCATATTTTTACACAAAACCTAACTTATTGTTTCCCCCGACCTTTAATCAATCGCGCTTTGCTTACACTCGTTTAGTAATTGAAAATTATTAAAGATAACAAGGCCACAGCTTCTAGTTCTACCCTTTTCGTAATTTAATTTGACCGTTGAATATTGGTCCGTTTTATTAGACCGTTAAAATTAATTTCTTTTCAACTCTTCCATCTATTGTTTTAACTTAACTAATAACACTTCTGTAGTCTTATCGACTGAAATGTTGTCCCAAATCACCTTGTACTTATTCTGTTCTTAACTCATCTACCAAGGAACGATTATTAAATTAACAATGGCCATATCCACTGTCGGGATTTTGTCGTAGGATTTTCCAAGGCTGTATAGACATTTTTATAACTATTTACTAATTAATACTACAGTGTTAAAAATATACTGCACCACAATGGCACCGAAAACATATAATGCTATTCGTGTAAAATATTATTATTAGATATACTTATACTACAGAAAAAAAAAACATTTTAATTTGGTATATAACTCACTTATTAGGATTATTGAGGTCTTCATACGGAATGTCTAAGGCGGCCGTCCAAGAAACCAACCAGATGAACGTTGTGGCTACGAAATATTGCACTTTCATCTGTAAACACACGAATAAAAACCATATATTATTATCTATAAGTTTGTTCTTTATATCATATTTATGATATACCTGCGTGGTCGACGCGCAAAATAGTCAATTAAGAGTACTGAGTATAATGTAATTATTTTCGAATCAGTTCACTTTTTTTATTTTCCATCCGAAATGAAACGAAATAATTCGAGGCAAAACGTGACGAAATTGTGAAAAAGGATTCGAATGAAACTATATAATAGAATAAAACATATTAACGACGGTTTAATGATGTCTTGAAACTTAGGATAAGTCTCCATCGCAATTAGTATGCTATTAACGTCCAAATCAATAGGCGTATGCACCTTCGGCAAAAAGATGCAGCGCATGATGTGTGTCAATAGTGAAAGGACAAAACACATTGAGTTGACAAAATATATCCTATCATCAACAATCACATCGCCTTTTTACAGAGTGACATCAGTGTTGAGACATTAATTATACTATCTTTGGCATCGTAATGTATCGGGTATAAATCAAAAAGATAATAATATATTAGGTATCTAAATTCGTCTTCGAATCCAGGACGGATACTAAAGCTAAGTTTTTTTTATTACAAAATATATTTTTTACTTCCACAGCTGTTCTCATCTCGTTGCAATCCATACACACACGCTATTCCGTTTTATATCACTCGACAAAGTATAATTCTATTAGCCGCATTCTTCGAGTATAGAATCTATCGTTTGTCGAATCTTCATTATTTTATATTTTACTTAACGTTTAAGATCTACGGATGACGTTATACGGAAACCGTTGCGCCATGGACGTGACGACGACCGTGCACAAATATACCAAATGCGTTTGCAGAGATGTTCAATGAGTATTTATTTACTTTTTTCCTTTTGGTAATAATTCTAGCGCGTGCAGTATCAGTCGGGGTTACGGTGGTTTAATGTGTTTGTTTTTTGGAGGAATGCGTTTACACGGTCGGTTATAAAAAGTATCTAAAAATAAAAGAACGTTTAAATTTCACCGAAATGCTTGTCATTATATTATTATAGCAAAATATCATCGTCGGGTAATCGTAGTAGGCGAGACGTATCGTTAAGCTACATGTTTTACATTCGATGTTCGACAACGCGCTAAACGGTTGAAACAATGCAAGAAAATATTGTTAAAAAAAAAACTGTTGTCGGAAATCGACGATTATAATTAAATTTGTTTCACACAAACAGGAACTCAGTCACCGGATGCACTTTTTTTTATTCAAGTTATCGAGATCTTATTTTTTTTAACGTGCGGCGTGAAAGTTCAATACTACATTATTTTAGAACATTTTCGGTGCGTTAAGCATATTATTATGACTACTATTATTGCTGCTGGAGTTGGAATCAAATCTGTAGGCATCGGAGCCTTCGGGACATCCGGACTGCGGACGGAGAGTAGACTTCTAAGTTATACCTGAAATATTTATAGGTTGTGGGAACCGACGTTATTATGGAATTATACAACCAGCCATCGCGATTAACACGAGTCCTCGGGCGGTCTGTCGAGTGTCTTTTCAGAAGACGATATTTGCTTTGGTCGTTTTCTCACGTGTCGCACGGTACAACAAAATAGAAAAAATCACTCAAGTGCAAACATTTAATATATTAAATGGAAAACCTGTTGAGCCGCGCCAATAACAATCTTTGTCTTTGAAGTTATCGCGCACAAGTGCGCTAATACGACAAACCTTCAATTTTCACTCATTATTTGTCACATTCCCAAACGAACTATGTTGTTTTTGATAAATAAAAAATGTAAACGTTGACCACTAGCGGTAGACCGTTTGTTTCGTACTACAATTGAAATGCAAATTAGTAAAACATTATACCCGTGCTTTTGAGTATGTAAGCTACTGAAAGGTGTAACTACGACTAGTGTCTGAAAAAATATATATGTGGCAACTCTTTCTAGTAAGTATTTGTTGTAACATTATGTTGAAAAAAAACACAGAGAGATAAAGAGCTTTTTATAGCCGACTTCTTGTGAATAATTTGCTTATAAATTTAATTTATCTGTGCTAATAACCTTTGAGCGTTATAATTTTGTTTTAATGCATTCAACCGTTTTTTCACATATTATCAAGTATTACATGAATTGAGTTGACGATTAATAATAATACAAATTGCAATATACACCGCAGAGTTGTGCGGTGAAACGGTGTTGTATAATTTTTTTTTTGTTGAAGTGATTAATCGACTGAGAAAACGAGTACTTCTGATCTTTAACTAGTATTCGTAAAAACGTTGTCATTACAACTCTTGACTGAAAAAAGAATCGAATTAGGTAAATGTAATCAAAAAGTAACGACACATCTGGTGCCAACGCCTACTAAACAGAAAGAATCCAAATATTAGTAAGTTGTTTGTGAGGCGTGAGCCTTGGTCAAGTTACAGTCAATATGATTACTATAAGAATGTTGAAAATTCAATCGAGAAGAAACTACATTACTATTGTTACTATTTCTCACTGAACAACCTCCGCCGAAGATCCTAGCCGAATGACTAACAGCAAATTTTAAAGCAATACTACAGGTGTAATTTTAAGTTCCCTTGGAGTTATTTTGTTACCCTTGTACTTTGTATAAATTAATGTATAATTATCGTAAACTTATATTGTAATTTAAAAAACCCATTAATAACTAATCACCACATTAAAGTATAATTTTCTTTTTAATTTTACATAAATAAATAATATTATAGTATGGGAATTTATATAAAGATAAAAAATAAAAACCTATATTATGATAATTATTTATGTTAAGTATAATATGTGTAATTCATTTGACGCAACTGCAAACTTTGTATACCACTAAAACTAATGGTTATGATTTATTTTTTATAAATAAAAAAACGTGAAGTATTTTTCTTTAAGAAAAAACTACTTTTTTGCCTACTTATTCCCATTTGCAGACGCTCAGCAGGTAACATGGCGGAATAATAAAATAATAACATAATATTAATAACGCTGTATTGATATAATTTACTGATGTATATTTTTTTCCACATGCTGTTTCAAAGATCATCTGATCATATTCGTACAGTGCACACGAAGAACTGTTATTATCATTATCGCATTCAATAACAATAAATGCAGTTAGATATGGCCAATCACAGAACACATAATTTAGTACATATTACTTATGTTCTTTGTGGTATTGAGGTACGCGCGTCCGGCAGTGTGAATTAGCCAACGTGACGTGTTTCGTTATTCTTTCTTTATGTAGGTATGATAATAGTAATAATAATATACATTTTATCAAGTTATATGTTGTGCGCCTACTTTGGCGACTACACGGTTTTCATCTTTAATCTTAGTAGTGAAAGCGCATGTTGTTGTGTATATGGTCTGATAAACCTGCACCCGAGACTCAATCCGGTGGCACATGTGACCCGTAAATTACTAAAACGGTGTTAATTTCCATTGGATATAATATTATACGTTCATTTTGCGGTTATTCCGGTGTGGATATTAGTTGTATACGGACACAGTAGTCGGATGTGGTTTTCGAGGCGTTTTAGAAAAACCAAAGGTCGACAATTCCTGTATTGTATCCGAGTCGCTATTGTAAACAAACTACAAAAAGTCTACACGTCTGCATGTTCAGATTACGACCAGATGAACGTATGTCGATTTGTTATTAGCATACTTGGACAAATACTATTCGAAAAATGAATAAAAAATTGATCATTATCTACCTACATAATATCATATTATGATTATTATCGTATATATATGTAGTTATTATAAAAAAATATATTTTTTCTTAAAGTCATTAATAATTGAAGATTATTTTTGTAAAAGTTATAGTCAAAAAATATTTTTAACTCAATTAAAATTTTATATTTTTAGAGATAGTATAATTTGAATAAGAAGTTAATTTAGGAGATGGTAATATGTAAACCGAAGTTGGCACAAGCTTGTCTAATTAATATTGTTTTTAATTTAATTTATTGAACTTAGACATTGCAATACATTATAGCTTTACACTATAGAGTTACATAGTTTAATTTTACTTAGAACTCTTTTCTACTTTTTTTGTACCTTGTTATGCTTATTAGGCAAATGTATATCTTATGTGCATGCATGCTTAACATTCCATCGAACAACTACTCTACCCTAGCTATTTGGCGCCAGCTATCTACATCTGAGTTCTTAACAGATTAATCATTTACTGCGTTCAGTAATAATGGTATTTGTTACAAGCCGGATGCAACGGTTAGATATCGAATTAAACGCCAACCGGGTAAATGAACATTGATAGACAGGTGAACGAAAATAGCGTTCAGTGTCTCTAAAGATTTCGAATATTATAAATTATTATTAATAAAAAAGACCTGTAAGCTTGCGATCTGCCACTGTTAGATGTATCCATTTTGTAAGTAGCCACCTGTTTAATATGAATAACGAATGCAAGATTATGAGTGAAATCGTTTCACAAACATTGAACCGTACAAACTAACGTGTATTACTTGTTTTTGTTTATTCATTTTCGTAGTATTACATAACACATGTATTAGAATAATCATTTAATGTCATATAGAAGTCGGGTTATTAATTTTTATTGAGCAAAATATAATTCCCAAGTGATATAATAATGTATTAATTATGCGATGTTATCTCAGAACGATAGATAAAGACAGATCCTCGGGTCAACTAGTGGCTAGGTATGATATTTAGGTTGCTACTCAATAGGAATCGCAACGCGAACAGGTCGGTTGATCTGTAATCACCAAAATATTATAATTCCTTATTTCAATTTTATTTTTATCGCTATTGCTTAACATTGCAAAACTTAAGAATTAAATTACTTAATGTTGTAACTAAAGACTAACCGCCATTCAATTTTAAATTTAACTATCGAATTCTTTAAACTAATTATTTTTATTAATTTACAAATAATAAATTATGTTGATTTTAATCTTGATTATTTTTAAAAAATTATCTCAATGCCACGTTAATAATTGTAACGTTATAATGATTTAGCTATTAATAATATTATGTGCATACATTTGGACCAGTCGCACAAAATAATTTTTTTTTTATTTAACTGTTTGACTTAATATTATGGTGTATAATAATTATTTTGTTATTGTTATAAAGTCAGTAAGACAGTAACTTTAAAACGAGCGAATACTTATTGTGCTAAAATATATGAGTTAGAGACCCAGGAAGCTTAACGCTTCTTATTGTTTATACCAGTCTAGTATATTTAATTCGTTTAATTATATCTAATAACACGAAAACGTTTCATTAAATATGTTGGTTTGCAATATGAATCGTATTTATAAACAAAATGTTTTGCTTAAAGTGAGTATTTTTCATACGGCATTACACGTTGTCCTTGTAGTGAATTGTACATAGACAGTACATTTTTAATTTCAGCTGCATAAAATATGCTAAAAAAGTATAAAAAAAAAAACTATTGAATTTACTTTTAAAAAGTTACGTTTTTAACTAACGTAACAAATTTTTTGCGAATAATTGTTTTTAAAATATCAAATAGTTTTCATTTTACATTATTTTCTCGTCAGTCTAGACTCTAGAGTTACCTCAGGGCTCAGGTCAAGCAATATTTATTAAAAACCTTAATGAAAACCAATAATATAATAGGTAGGTGACTATAGTGTGTTATTTTATACGAAGGTACGTACCTAATATATCAAATGCCGTATAAGGCCCTGAATTATGTACGGCGTAATTCTAAGTATATAGGTGCTTCTTGTTTTGTAGATTTTTCCAGACAGAGGAATTCGACGTTACATAGCATATAGTTTTATTTACACAGTTGTGTTTAAGAGTATATAGCCGTGTCGAGGGTTAAGCATTATATAACTTAATAATGTATGGCATAACGGCCAGTACCTACTATGTAGTAGTATTTACATTCGACATGCTGTATGACTATAGAGGCTTAAATGAATTTGACTGGTTTATACCAAATACAAACCTATGCATAAATAAAATATAATATAGCTATACACGATATAATATTAGTGCGTGTTTGAGTATTTCGAAATGTCAATTCGTTTTGGCCCGAAAAATGTTCCCAATGATGCCTCGATACTAGAATTGATTTCTATTCATTATTCGAGTGTCTTGAAATAAGTAAAATTTGTTGGTTATATGGAATAACACAATAAATCCTATAATGAACTTCATAGAAGACATTCTATGATATTCATCAGTAAGGGTTGTCTTTTGGCGATAAGGTATAGTGGTACCTAGTTCGTTTTGTATTTATTTTTAGTTGGAAAAAAAATGATGTACCTATTGCAGTCCCTGGGTTAATGAACGCTGCTTTACAACGAAAACAAAACGACATGTACCTAGCTGTTAAATGTAAATTTGAAATCTTTTAATATGAAAATTGTACAATAAAACAGTTGTCAACTATGGTAAATTACCC